TCTATATCTAGTTTAAGATTTATATTATTTATTTTAATTTTTATTATAATAAATTTCTTATATTATTAGATTATAATACTATTAAAACTAATATTATTATATTTATTTATTATTATAAATTATTATAATTTTTTATAATAATACTTTTAAATATTAAAAAATAAATATATTTTTCTAATATTTAATAAAATTTTAATTTTTATTAATTCTAATATTAATATATAAAAGTATTTTTTTATTTTATTTAGCTAGTATATTAATTAATTAATAAGTTTATATTTTAAAACTATAATAATTCTAATATAATTTTATAAATTCTTAATAATATTAAGTTATAAATAATATTAAATTTTCTTTTTTAAATTTTAATTATAAAATAATTAATTTTAAAATTAATAATTCTATTATTATATTTAAACTTTAAGTTTTTAATATTTATAATTATATAAATTTCTTTTTTCTTTTTCTATAATAAATAAAATTAATTAATTACTATTAATAAGATATAATTTTTTTATATTCTATAATTAATAAATATTATAAACTAGTTTTTCTTAATCTCTATTTCTATAAGAATATATATAGAGCTTTCTATTTCTATAGTTTTTAAAATTCTCTAATTTATTATTAATATCTTATTATACTATAGCTCTATTATAAATAATTTAGATTATTTTTTATCTAATTAATTTATTTTTAAAATTTATTTATTAGTAATAATATATTTTATCTATTATATATTTTATTCTATTTTTACTTATTAGTAAAAGTAATTTCTTTCTTATTACTATTTTCTTTATTATTTATAAATAAAGATTATTCTTTTAAGTAATATTTCTATAGTTTTTCTTTTTATAACTATTACTATTAAAGATCTAGCTTAATAGTATTTATATTATTATTACTATATTATACTAATATTAATATTTTTTATTTAATTTCTTAATAGTTTCTATATAGCTATTTATTATATTATTTAATCTATTTATTATTACTATATATTATTTAGTTCTCTATATATCTAAAGTTATACTACTATTTAATCTTAGTATTCTTATATATCTTATATCTCTATTTTTAGTATATTTCTATTAGTATTTCTTTAAAGATATACTTAATAGAATATTTCTCTAAGTTTTCTTTAAAGATAATATATAATTCTATTCTATAGTATTAATAGATAAAGTATTATATTTAAATCTTTTTATATTTTTAGAATATTCTTTTATTAGAAAATAGAAAGAAATTATTTTTTATTTTATTCTTTTAATATATTTTATACTATATATTATAATAGATTATTTATAACTCTTATTTATAATTATATATATTACTAGTTTTTATATAGATTAGATTATTATAATTATTATTAAAGTACTAGATAGTATTTATAATACTTTTATTATAAAGTACTATTCTAATTACTTAATTAGAATTCTATTTTTATATCTTTTTTTAATAATAAATATATAGTTTATTATATTTAGTTTTAATTTTATTTCTAGTAAATTAATATTATTTTTATTTCTTAGAAATATATTTAATAAACTTATTAATATAATAAAATATATATTTATATTTAGTAAGAGATTTATAATTTATAATATTTTTTCTATTTTTATATTTCTATTTAAGTTTTTAAAGAATATATATAATATATTATTAGTTTTCTTCTAATATTATTTATTCTTTTTTTTTATTATTATTTTTTAATATCTTATAGAAGTTTAATATAGATTTTCTAGAGAATATAGAAACTATAATAACTATATAGTTTTCTTTCTAAATAGTTTTTCTAATTATTTTAAATATTTTAATTTTAGTTTTTCTAATTATTTCTAACTATTTCTTATTTTCTTTAATAAATTTCTAATTCTTCTATTTTTTAGATTTTAAATATTAGAATAAGATATATCTAATCTTATTATAATTATAATATTTATATTTTTCTATAGCTCCTAGCTCTATAGAATCTATATATATTCTAAAGACTATAGATTATTATTATTATTATAATTAACTAGTACTTATATAGTATATTATTTTTTTACTATAGGTTTATTAGTAATACTACTAATTATTAATTCTTATAATTATAATTATATATTTATAAATACTTATTAATTTATTTTTCTTATAAAATTCTTTCTAAATTTCTTTTTTTAATTTATTAAAATAATATAATATAGTATATTTTTAATTCTATTTAGTTTTTATTAAAAGCTAGAGATATCTATTACTAAAGATAGAAATAGATTTAATTTAAAAGAGTTTATTAATTTTATATTTTATTTTATATCTTTTATTTTAAATTCTAAAAATTTATTAAAAAGTTTTTATAAAATAATTAAAACTTATTATAATATTAATAATTTATTAATTTCTTTAATTATTAAAATATTTCTTTATAATAGATTTAAACTAATTAAATATAGTTTTTTTAAATTATAAATAAATATAAATAACTTATTATTTATTATTATTAAAAGTAATAAAAAAATAATTAAAATATATTTAAAATTAGATTATAAAGTTTTAAAGTTTATTTTAAATTTTATTAAATATTTTAAATAGTAATAATTTAAATAGTATTTCTAATTCTCTTTTTTAAGTTATAATCTAAATTTAAACTTAAAAATTAATATTCTAAATAACTTATTATTCTATAAGAATAATAATAATAGCTATTTCTTATTATTTAATTATAAAATATTTTTAAAGTTAAAGAACTTAGATTTATAAAAGCTTAATCTTAGTATTATTATTCTTCTTATTATTATTACTATTATTATTTTTATCTATAGTATTATTATTATTTAAAGTAAGTAAATTATTAATAATAGAGTTCTATTATTAAACTAGAGGAATTATAATAATTATAGTATTTTCTTTATTATTATATAATAATTAAAATAAGATAATTAGCTAAATAAGAGTTATTAATATATAATAATTAAATAATTTATACTAGATTAGATTTAAAGTAGATTAAAATTAAACTAATTAGAGAATTATTCTAAGTAATATAATTAGATTATTATAAACTATATAATATAAGTTATTATTATAAGATCCTAATAGTCTACTAGTAATTAGTTAGAAAAAAGTAGGGTATATTATATAACTTCAATATATAATAATGTAATTCGTAACACAAGGAAAGAATAGCATCAACAAGGACTCTACAAAACGCCGCCGTAGCCGCCCCAGAAAGATATACTTGGGGGGCCTAAATCCGCCGGCTCCCCAAGTAATGGAAGTAGGGGAAGGATTGCATTTATGATTACGGTGGCCATTACTCCACTCAACCTTATGTAAGACCTATTTTGAGGACCTGGGGCTAGAAACATGGCATATTTCAAAGTCAGAAATTGGGCTCTCTTTAACTTAAATATTGATCAGTTATAAGTTGTATCTTAGAGAGACAGTTTGATTGAAATTTGATAGATCACAGGGTTGAATTACTATCATGGCGTACGACTGGCAAACCACTCGGAAGAATCAAGAGGGCTCGAATTGTGATTCGCTCTTTTTTGGTTTCGATTTCTCATCTCTCGGTGATGCGCAAATTTCACCAGACTTTCTTTTGAATGAGCAGCGGATTGACCCTGCGCTCGAGAAAACGAGCACGATAAGCACCGAGCAACCTATATAGGATTGGCCAGAGAAGCTGAACCCCTCGCCACTAAAGCAACGAACTGGATCAGATATCAAACCATCCAATGGTCAAGATCCAGGGGAAGCCCTGGGTCGTATAATCTCGGAGCTTCATCATCTAACGGAGGAGCTCGAGAGCCGTCTGGAAAAGAAAATCCATACAGTCGTGGAAAAGAGTATTCATAATACTGTGGAAAAAATAATTCGTGCAGTCGCGGAAAAGAGTATTCACGATGCTGTGGAAAAAATAGTTCACCCAGTTGAAGAAAAGGTAAATAGCTTAGAAGTTGAGTATGTATTGTTTTGAGTGTGAGTGAATATTGCTAAAACGATGCAGCAGGCTAGAGAGTGAGGTGGCGAAGTTCAGTACCGAAATTGATACGAATGTTCAAAAGTTACGTGGTTGGGCAGTTCAGGCAAAACTATATGTGGACAAGGTAGCTGAGCTACAGACCGATTAGAAATCCAGAGGTAGGCTGCCTCTTTCTTCTTTCACTTCCCTCTTTCCTTTTCCCTCTTCCCTGTTTTCTCTCTTTTTCCTGCGCGCGAGCTAAGTATGACTTTGTCGGAGAGTGTTTTTTTTTTTCGATAGAATTTCCAAGTGTCACACCAGTATTCATTACATTACTGGTGCTATGACATGCGTAGACAATTGGCTTCCCCTGGTGCCTGCCTTTCCCCTTCCGCACTACCTACCTACTTCGTACCAGGCTTCCGAAGATATGAGGTTTCACCACATTTGCGAGCACAACACTCGTCGCGTTTGTTTCTTTACCGTTACTGTATTGAAATAAATACCTAATCACGCTACTGTCAGAAGCAAGGGAGTTATACAGCTTCTTTGAGGTCCTTTACGGTCTGCTATCCAAGCTGGAGGACAACTCACTGCCTACGGTCGATATCGCATTAAGTTGACTGCTCACGACCCTAGCCCCTATGATCGCCCGGGAGCAACTCACGGGCGATCAGCCGCTGGTGAATTTGATTGCGCGGCTTAAAGAAAGGTTATTCATACTGCATTCAAAATCATCAATGAAAAGCACTAGGGCTGACGAAACATTGGAAGAAGATCTTCGCCTGCATGAACTCGTCTGCCTTTTCCGGCTTGTCCAGGAGAGAAACAAGAATTTAATGCCTCTCGGTGTTATGATATTACCAAAAGGCTTTACCCGTAGAGTTATGATTTAATGACGAACCAACCTCCTTGTGTTTTCATATGGTTTAGTATATTGACACAAGGGCTTGGCTTTGTTGATGAAAATCAAATGGAAGTGGATGAAGGAAATATCTCGGGTGTAGTTAGTAAAAAAGAATACCAGAAACGAGTTTCGGTGAATTTAGAGATGAAGTTTCTCTTTGTCAAGTCCGGAAGGGTGAATATTTGGTGCCCCAGTAAATGTAAACGTGATCTGGTATGATCAACTAACCTAGATGATCTCTCGACTCGCAATATATTTTACATGTTGAGTGAGTCATAGCACATACCTTGTTGTCTCCCGTCGCCTTTGGGGTTGAGTTTATGCGCGTTGTGATGCTGACTCTACGCGTATGAAGCCGAGTCAATTGGATCAGTGCAGTGCACTACTATGACGTATTCATCTTAAAGTTCTTCATTGAGTTACCACCTTGAGCATACCCAGTGGAAAAATATGGCTCAGATCAGGTTCATAGTCCTCACCAAGTCGCCATAATTCGTCCCCCCTTGTAATGCAAACAGTGTTTTCATTATCAATGAAAGGTTGATGTTCACAGGGTTCTCTTACCCCCCTTTTCCACTCAAGGGGATACACTACGCCGCATCGATAGGCAACAAGAGCTTGACACTGGCACTTGTCCGCACTCCTCCATACTGCCGTGACCTAGGCCACATTGACGTCACTATGGCACTCAGTATCGCCAGCTTCTACGAAAAATGGAATGTGGCAAAAATGCTCAACGACGGAGTCCCTCTCGATTCCCCTGGCATATGCAACACGCTTCACTGTGCGGCTCTGCATGGCCGCTGCGACATCCCGGAGACACTCACTGCTGCAACAACATCCCTGTTCTAACAGCAAAGGCTGCGCCGACGTGGGGACCAGGATGGTGCGAGCCCGATCCTCTCCGCCATGGGCAGTTGTAGCGAGTCCGAGGCCGCCCGGATCGTCGATACGTTGACCGACCTAGGGGCCTATCTCGCCCGCCGAGTTAGAGGCGGAAGCTATTCTGAATATGCCAAGGCAATGGCAAGGGCTAGCTGTCAGAGCACCTCGACGACGCCATGAGAAGAGATACCGATATCGCTCTCCATCCCAATAGCAATCCACCACGCATTTAGGTCATACCGCCCCAACCAGGATACAGTGACCGAGAGCATTGCATGTACATTGAAGACGTTCGCCCCTCGATCCACACTTCGAGCACAATACAGTGTCGGCTAGTTGAATCTCATGACTGGAAGAGGGACGGAAGCACTCATGATATAGTGCAGGCAGCTCATCCGACGTCGCGAGAGCATCTGGGTAAAAAGGATTATCCTTATATCCCAAAGAATAAGTTAAAAAGAGGCTAGTTATATAACTAAGGCTAATATGTTAAGTAAAATAATTTCTCTTATACTACTATAAATAACAAAGACTAAACGGTAGAAACCAAGGCTATTATTATTTATTCTTTCTCTACAGTCGTGGCGCATCGTGGGGTTGAAGCGTGCGGCGCGCGTGCGGCTGTGGCTGGCAGAAACACCACAACACAGCCACTGCCACTTGAGTTACATCTCAGAATCCAAGCTGGACGCTCGGATGCCAGGATGGAAGATGGGCAAACCTGCAGCCCCTTCTTGGTTCAAATTCCATCTGCGATATTACGCCAAAAGTTCGGACTGTGGACACGACTTGATTCATCAAGTCCTTCCCACTGTCTCTTATCTTTGTGAAGCTATGAGTGAGGGTATCTGGAGACCGACTCGCACGCAACCAGACTCATAAAAGAACTTGCTTGGACCTAAACAAACGACGATCGCCTGTTGGCATTACTTTGAGGTTGCTTTAGACTTCAGTGTTATAAATGGACGCATCAAGTAAAAAAAAGAAAGCACTAATTAATTGATTCCTAGGTTAAAACCTCCTCCTCCAATAGCTCTCTATGGATCTTCGTGCCTCGGACGCTTGATTGCGCTACGAGCTATCTGTGTGCACAACGATCGGAAGATTAGTCTGCACTTTGTAGACAGTTGCCTCCTTAGATTCCCCAACCTCCATGGGGCTCTTCCTTTCGGTATACGTCGGAGACGATTCCTCATCCCTAGCAGCATGGGACGGCGACGACGCAGCCTCGCTATCATCTCGAGGCCCAGGCTTCCTCCAGCATCCTGTCATGGCGCGCCAGCCCCGTCCAAGTGCTCTGTACATCACAGCGAACGGCGCACCCACCGTGATCGCGATCTTGCTGAACCACTCATCCGGGAAAAGACGGACTAGAACCGCATAAGGAACGCATAAGAAAGCCGTGACAACCGAGATGGCCCATTGCGTGTCGTCGATGCCACCCTCCTTGATGGAGAAGGCGCGGGAACCGACGTAGATGATGGCCACTTGCAGACCAACCATCAAAATCGTGATGCCGACAAAAAAATGGTTTCGGTGGATACCCTCAAAGATGTTGAGCCTGTTATCCAAGCGCCTGTTGTTGAACTCATTGAAGATCTGCATCCAGACGAAGGTGTTGAAGATGATGGTGTTAAGCTCGAGCATCTGGTCCTCATCTGCGCGGTCGTAGCCAAGGATCTCAGGGCCAGCAAAGTAAAGAACAAGTGACACAACTAGCTGGAAGATCGTTTGCGCTGTAATCATCTTCCACATATTTATTGTGATGAGAGGACTCTTCTTTCCCTGCGGTTGACGGTCTAGGATCCGATCTGTGGGTGGATCTGTGGCCAAAGCCAGGGCCGCGAATGTGTCCATGATGAGGTTAATCCAGAGAAGCTGGACAGCCTTGAGAACCGATTCCATCTTGTCGTTGGAAACGGATGTGATGAATGCGATAAGGACAGCGGTGATATTGACTGTGATCTGGAACTGGAGAAACTTCTGTACCGCGTCGTTCACTGCCCGTCCCCATTTCAGCGCCGTGATAATCGAGGTAAAGTTATCGTCCATAAGGATAATCGCAGAAGCCTCCTTAGCGACTTCAGTGCCTGACAGGCCCATGGAGAAACCGACGTCCGCGGCCTTGAGAGCAGGGGCGTCATTTGTGCCGTCGCCAGTCACGGCGACAGTCTCATCAAATAGCTCTTTAAGCTTAGTAACAAGTACGCGCTTATCCTCAGGTGAGGAACGGGCAAGCACCTGAAGCTTGGGGAGTGTCTGGCGGAGCTCTTCATCTGTGAGCTTCCTGAACTCGGGACCTTCCATCACGATGCCACCCTCGGTGTAGATGCCGCACTCTGTAGCTATGGCACGGGCAGTGACGACGTTGTCGCCGGTAACCATGCGAGTCTGGACGCCGGCGCTTCTAGCTTTGGCCACAGCCTCTGGCACACCAGGGCGCACCGGATCCCGAATCCCCACGACGCCGAGGAACGTCAGATCAGCCAAAAGTGGCTCGAGCGGGACAGTAAGATCAGTCTCCGTCCCTGACGATGGCGAAGTAGGGGTCAAGGCTTCACGTGAAGCATGGACAGGGGGCCACTGCTTGTAGTTTGCATACACAAGCCCGATAGTTCGCAAAGACTGGATGGCGTACCCATTGATCGTCGCCTCAAGCGCCCTCCGCTCATCCCTGGAGAGTTCACTTTGGCCTAGGCTTTCCATGTCGACCTTGTACTTGCAGTGCTTCAGGAGGATCTCCGAAGCACCCTTGACGAGCAGACGATAACCACCGCCCTCGTCCTTGCTAAGAGCAACAACTGTGGCCATGCATTTCCTCTTGGAGTCGAAATCCCACTTTGTTACGATAGTGTTGCTATTGCGAGCTTCCTCGACGTGAGGCATTCCAAGGTGATCACGCGCCAGGTGAAGAAGCGCCGTCTCCGTCTTGGAACCGACAAAAGCCGAGGCGTCGCCTTCTTCCTTGCTCTCAAAGGCGGTAGAATTGCAGGCAACGGAGCATGTGATGAGTCTGCGGGCGGGCTCAGAGAGCTGAGAAGCCCATTGAGAGACCGATGTGTGGCTGGTTGTTGACTCTGCGCTTGAAGGCTTCGAGAAGCATGTCGACCCAAAAGTGCCGGCCACTACTGTCATCTTGTTTGCTGTGAGTGTACCCGTCTTATCCGAGCAAATGGTCGTTGCGTTTCCCATGGTCTCACAGGCCCGTAAGACTCGCACCAGGTTCTTCTCCTTGACCAGCCTCTTAGTAGCAACGGCCAGTGCCAAAGTTACGGCAAGAGGGAGACCTTCTGGAACAGCGACAACAATGATAGTGACGGCGACAATCAGGATATTCAAGAAAGACGAGGCTTTCTCTGTTGCGATCCGATCGTCTGACGAGAGGCTTGCGAGAAAGCGGATCAGAAGAACCGCGAAGAGTAGACAAGCAGCGCCGCTACCGAGCTTCGCAATAGCCATGGCGAGGCCCTCGAGCTTCTTCTGCAGCGGTGTTGTCTCGATGTCGACGCGGACCGATACCATAATCTTTCCGAAGCTGCTGTTGACTCCCACGGATGTAGCGACAAAGGTTCCGGTTCCTGCGGTTCAACGGTATTAATTCAAGTTCTCTAGCGTGGAGATCGGGGACATGCCCAACGGGCGGGATGGTAGGACGAACCTTGGAGAACCTTGGCACCAGAGATAATAAAGGGATCCAAACCGCTGGTGTTGCGGCCCTCGGTGATAGCAGCCATCACAGTGTCGCCCGCTGTCTTGGGCAGAGCCTCTGACTCTCCCGTGGCCGAGGACTCATCGCACCTGACATCGCTGCCTTGGATGAAGATGCCGTCTACTGGTATCATGTCTCCCGGCTCCAGACTCACGACATCACCGACCAGCAGATCCTGTACATCAATGACTTGCTTCCTCCCTGAGCGAATGACCGCAACCTGACGTTCGTCCTTTTTGGCGTTCAGCTTGACAAAGGCGCATTCCTTCTGGTAGTCGTTGAGCGAGCCGACGAGGGTGACGATGGCGATAGCAGCGCAGATGGCCACGCCCTCGATCCAGTTGACCGGCATGGGCTCACTCGGGGGGTGCTTGACACCCAGAGTCTCGTAAAGTCCGAGCGCGAGGGACACCGCCGCTGCGGCGGTGAGTAGGATGAGTACCTTGTCGTTGTACGCGTTCCACATGAGCCTCAACAGCGAGGTCGGCTTCTTGGGCGGCAGTATATTACGCTTGAATACGCGGATGCGCTCGCCGAAAGCTTCAGATGACGGAGGGAGCTCGACCTTCATGTCCCCGGCCACCCCGTACACGGCCTCATCGTAAGAGATCCGCGTTCGGGGGGAAGTTTCGTCGACGCTCAGACCCGACGTGGCATCCGTCTGCAGACCGCGGATGATCCCTCTCAAGCCGCCGAGTGCCCGGAACACCGACAGAGATTTCGGATTCAGCAGCTTGTTGAGATGGCCCGGTGTGAAGGCGAACGGATTGTCCTGGACGAAGAAGTCTGCTTCCGTACCTGGGTATGCCTGGAGCGCGGCTTTTGGCTCCTCGAGGATGCTGCCCTGTGTGCTCGGCGCCACCGAAGACGCGGTGAGAGCTGTCAAGGCCAGAGTTTCGGCTTTGCTGGAAGATCTTGAGCGTGTGTCTATCGACTGGCTGGGCGGCGAGAGCATCTGCCCGTTACTACTAAACGCCATGTTGACACCACTAGTGTTGATGTGGTAGTTTAGCAAAGGGGACCTCCACACGCAGTCAAGGTAGCGGCTTGTGTGTACTCTTGCAGACAATTATGTGTTTCTAATAAGAGAGAGAAGTTTGTAGTTCAGGTTGGTTTGTCTGTTGAGTCTATCTATTCCTCAGCTCCTAGATCCGTGGACTTGACAGTGGCACGAGTTACACCTTATACGTCAAGGCTTGAAAAGCATACTGGTTCTTTTTCGGTGAGCCAGCGCTTGAGCACAACAGTAATGATCAGA